CCCTGAAGACTGAACCCCTAAACCCAAAGCCATCGAGGAAAGGCAAGGGCATGCCACCAGAGATGATGGCCATGATGGGCATGATGATGACCCCGGGGGGCACAGTCTCATTCTTGCTAGGGTGTAGGGTTTAGAGTTTCTTCTACTTTTTCCCAAACTGACACGGAATCTCACAAATTCCTGCTTAAAAGTGCTTTAGTCTTTGTATGGCCTTTCGAGGTTCCATGCTAGCTTGGGGACAGGCAAAAGGTTTAGAGTGCAGAGGCGTACGCTGTAAATACATGTTGCCCCTATATCAATCTTGTAGAGTCTTGGTCAGCAGGATGTGTGGATTTGGGATCTCTAGTGTAGGGTAAGGGCGTGGGGTTGTCGGGGTTAAATGATTTTTTCTAGGGTTTCGGGTACCATATGCAGGTTGGGAATTAGGGCTCAGTATTGGGGTTTCCCCTGCGGCCTCATATAGACTACCATCCTTTCCATAGGGGCTTATCTCGGGTGCCATGTTAGTTTAGTGAGGGCATAGGGTTGTTGGTTCTAGGGCTTAGGGTTCAGGGTNNGGGTTTTGGGTTCTAGGGCTTAGGGATCTTGAAGCCCAGGGAACCAGTTGGAGCGTCATGAGTCTCCCAACCGCCTCCTCATCCAGCCATCCATCGAGGACTTCCCAAACGACGGGGTTGCTGTTAAGTAGCTCATGAAGTAACCGGTTTAGGGTCTAGGGCTTAGGGGCCATAATGGAGAATCAAACGGAAAATGGTTTGCTAAATGCGGATATAGAAGCATCAAGGGAACGTAGACTAAGTTACCAGATTATGGGTATATATTGAATAGTGGAGTTTCCTTCTTATAGGAACTAAACGGAAGTTCCGTAGCAGCAGCCCCCCTCTGACTGGGGAAATTGTAGTTCGAGATTTCAACACGCGGGGCAGTTCCAAGTACAGGGTTCCCGTTATATACCCGAAATCGCTACAATGCCAAAATTGGAGACTGCCAGCAAGTAACCCGTATTTCGTGAGACCCCAAGTGGGGCTGGGCTTCTCTGACCAGCACCTGCGCCTAGATCCCCCAAAACACTGAACCCTAAACCCTGAACCTTACATCCCTAAGTCGAGGCCTAGAATCTGGGCCTCATGTAGGGCTCATGGTTTCGGTGCTGAGGTTTAGGGTTTAGGGGTTTGGGGGTTTACGGTTGTAAGCCCTAGGCTGTGTGGGCTTAGGGTTAGATCAGTGAAGTAGTGTAGCGGCCTGAAAACTCACCAAGAATGGAAAATAAAATGAAAAAACAGCGGAAGATGAGATAAAAGCTAAGCTCACATAGAGGTTTGTGGGTAGGGCCTATGTAATGTAGAAGCCTGAGGAACCCCTAGCACTGCGTATGTCCTCAAACCCAGTTGAGCCCTGGACTAAATTTGTAGTATATCACTTAATAGGTCCCCCCAAAACCCTCTATAGGCCCCCCCAACCTAAATTTAGTGCGTAGCACAGTCATATTCTTTGAGTTCCTGCCCGTCCAGGAGCATGATGGGCAAAGGCGGAGGCGGATGGGGAGGTTCCTGGGGCAAAGGCGGAGGCCACGTGCATCCTCCAGGCAAGTACAAGACGCTAGGTTTGTTTAGGGTGTAGGTTTAGTACGTTTCTTCTCAATTTGGACGACTGTCGAGAGTATTGCCCCCAATGCCAACCTAGAATTCGGGTGCCTGCATGCGCACTGGTGATGGAGGAAGTCATTGCATCATTTTGGGTCTCTAAGCCCTAAACCCTAA